CAAATCTTGACAAGTGACATAATTGGCACAACCTGACGCATGATCCTAACTTTTAACGCTGACCTGTTTTTCATTTCAGCATTGCGGCAACATTGAATCTACCTTTTACACACCGTAGTAGAAACACTGCTACGTATAAAAATGAACCCTCGCTCAAAGTTGACCCGACATTGTTGTGCCGAATGGGTACGCTTTCCAATTATAGAATCTAAGCAGAGGTACCCGGCGTTGCACGAATGAATACGTCCCATATTTGTCTGCACAAAATAAGGTAGTGTAAAACTGCGAATGTTCGGACAGTTAAGCTGGCCGAGTCGCTCTATCTCAACGGTACAAGCTGGAAACCTCTTTTTTTTTGTTAATAGCAGCACGACACGAGGAGGTATAAGTGCTACAATGGTGTTGCCCTTCCTAGCATCATGAATTCTGATATTGCCTATAAAGTGATGTCCGAACTTAAATGTGGAAAAAGTAAAGTTCGGACACTTTTTACCTTAGGTCGGGCACCCCAGTTTTAAAGTCTCAATGATTCTTGAAACACTTGATTGTGATGCAAAGAAATGATAACCCGGTCTCAAAGTGCAGTATCGAACCTTTTCTCAATATTCTAGTATAGGAAGATTGTGATTGAGTGGGTGATCGCCTGACTTTCATTCTGTTCAAGATGAAATAGAAAGATCAAACTTGGTATTCAAAAAGCTCTGATTTTGCGGGATTCAGGTAGCTTTTTTTGGAGAGGCGCATCTTCATTTTTTTTTGCGCTAACAAACGAAGAGACATGAAACTTGTAGCATCGGTACTTATTGAGCAGCAGATTCCAGGCACAAAAAAAAAAACTGTTTTTGGGATGCGTTGCCTGGGACCACATTTTGGGCTGGACCTTACCAAAAAAATTATTTCGTTCCCGGGAATCATAGCCATTAGGCTGAAACCTTAATAAATAGGTACCTGATGGTATGCAGTCATAAGGGAAAATCCTAATTCCAGGATTTATCTCATGGAGGTAATTTTGGGAAGCCATACATTTTAATGTTTTGCTACGCTGAATTTGGTGCTGGTGGGTATAGAAACCTGGAATTTGGAAGCTAGGTTTTCTTTCCGTCGCTAACTTATGAAAATATCCTTATCTTGTGGTAAATCCCTTATATGCACATTTTTCATTCAGGTCATATTTTCGGAATTTTTTTTTAAGCAGAACGGGCAAGCACAGTTTATTACATTCAGTAGACAAGTTTTTATCTGCATGATTAACTCAGAAAATATCCAATCTCAGGGACAAATCCCCACTCCCAATTTTGGAGGTACAACTCCTAGAGGCGCATTTGTTTAGCAGACGGGTCCATTGTATGAAATGCTGGCCTTCCATATGATATCTCACCGAAATTAAAGCCCTGATAAATGTTTCAGCAGCCTCGGGTCGATAATCCCTTCCATTCCAACCTCCTACCATGATTGCACTGCTTTCGAGGGAAGAAACACATGATCTTGTATTTTGCATATGTGCTCGACGATGTCCGAAGTTACATGAACCGCTATGAAAGTTCGGACAGGGGTAAAAAAAAAAAAAAAAAAAAACGACAAAAAAAAAACAAACATGTTCCCTGAGAAGTAGGACTCAACTGAGCTTTTGTCAATCCTAAACATTTTTTCTCGCATTAAGGGACATCATATTCACGCGAATATGACTCACATGGATGAATGTCCGAACATAAGTTTCTTTAAAATATCCTTACCTCAGTTCGGACACATCGGAAGTGAGACAATAATCTGATCAAGGCATGTGCATTCTGCTTAACGAGTCTCCATGTCTTCCCAGTTTCCTGGTAAGTAAGAATTGAGCGCAAAAAACAACAATGTCAGGTGTAAAATGTTTTAAAAGTAAGGGTTCTTTCTTACGGTTTCTCATAGGACTCCCCTTTTCGCGATATCACATTGGCCCTAGTCCAATATCTTGGAACCGTGCAAAGCCTTCATCACCACCGCTTGTCCTTTGCTCAGTAAAGTGTTCATCTCGTGATTGGAAGAACCACTTCTGAAAGCGGCCTCGCGAATGCTTAGTTTTTCAACAATGTTGTTACAGTGTTACAGTTAAGTCGAACTTAGGTGGTTTTAATCTACACCGGGGCAGGGCCAGATTTAGGGGCAGGCGACCCAAGCGACCGCCTGGGGCAGAGGGGGGGGGGGGGGAAGACGCTCCTCGCCATGCCAGATTTAGGGGCAGGCGACCCAAGCGACCGCCTGGGGCAGAGGGGGGGGGGGGGAAGACGCTCCTCGCCATTTGATCTAGGGCCGGTCCTGCCGAGGGGGGTCCGAATTTTTGAACTCCACCTAGCCTATGACCATCCTCGGACCAAATGAGAAAGCCATGCAAAGTTTGGTCGGATTGGGATCAGAGGCGTAACCGTGCATGTAGGACGGACACACAAACATTCCGAAATGTGATAGTAATAGATAGATCGTGAGTGAGTGACTAACGCTAATTCTAAACACGTTCCAGATAAGGTAGAAATCTGAAACTTGGTACACAAGTGGCTATTAGGATGCAGAGTTCATGAAAAATCTGACTTTAACATTTTATTAAGGGAATATGGGACTTTGTTAATGCTCCATTGATGTGCTAGGGTGCCACATGGAATGATAGTTAAAATGAGTTTTGACATGTGATATCGGAGCGCTGTGTTCCATTGCCGTTTTGCTTTAGGGATTTTGTTGAGTTCTTTTTCTTCGCCTTTGTTCAGATAAAGCTCCATTCGCATAATTGGGCGTTACTTTGCCTTGGAAGATGCCCCGGGGCGCCATTTGTTCTAGGGCCGGTCCTGCCCTAGGGGTTCCGGATTTTGAAACGCCACCGAGTCTATGACCATTCCCGGACCAAATAAGGAAGCCATGCAAAGTTTGGCTGGACTGGGATCAGAGGCATAAAGGACAGTCAGACAGACAGAGAGACACACAAACATTCGAAATATAGTAAAGATTGCTACATAGTAGTGACTGAAATTGATTGTATGTTGTGCATCTTCATGTCTGCCTGAGTTCTGTCTCTCTGGGCATTTAAGGACGTATAAGCATTTTTAAACCTAAATTTTCAAGTTTTTTTTCCTGTGGAAAATAATTCCTTTATCATGCCACAAAAGACGTCGACAGAAACAGCTGGAAAATATCCTTGCGCCGATGATCGTAGGAGAAAGCGAATTGTGCGTGAGAGTAATAACGATGTCGACCCCTCTTAACTTTCGAGTATCGAGGCCGAACGTTCCTGCTTACGCTGAGCAAATGAGACAGATTCCGAATACGATAAGCGATATAGACGACATTGGACATGAGCTGGGCCTGGGGGCAGTTACCAAGAGCGTTCAGCTGTGATTATTTTTCATTGGGGAGTATTTTTTTCTGGCAATCGTCATCCAGTGAACAAAATCGAATTACACCGTCTAATCATCGCGTGTGCACACAGGCTTTCGACTAATCTCACATTTCTTCTCGCTTGTACTAAAAAGTGTTCCTCGTTCTCATCACACGCGGGACTGTTATCATATCGGCTTTTGGCATTAGCACAAATTTTTTTTGAGGTTTTTGCGGACTTTGTCTTAGGGAACAGATAAGAGACAAAGGATCTACTGGAGGTATGTGAGACCAGGCCAGGCTGAATGTGATGTTTTGTCTAGACATATTTCAACCATCTATTGTCGGCCTGGGTGCTTCGACTCCTTCTGAACAATAACGTTGTGCTAACATTGGCAATCCTCAAAAGAACGTTCTTTGAACGCTTTAGTGCAACTTGGGAGCATTCAATTCATCTCATCGATGAACGACTAGGAAATGCATGATTTAAACTGTTGATTGTTCTAAATTTAAGATATTTTGAGAATTAATAAAACGCTCCCAAAGACGTTAATATAAAGTTGGCAAATACTTAAAAGAATCGTTCCTTGAATACATGCTAATGCTTCGTGTGCTACTTGAATGGTACGTAATCTCTGAACTCTCCTTCCACGATAGTAGTGCTCTTCTATTCCTTCAGTTTGCAGCAGGTTTACTGCGACTGGTAGGCCTATATCTTTTTTAAAATGTGTTTTCAGTATTTCCAGAATGGGATTGATATGTTCATCTTATACGAATGCTGTGACTACGAACTACATAACCGGCAAAACAAATGTGTATTTGTATTATTGTTAACGCTCGCACTTGGTTTTCCCTTTCAACGTTGGGATGCGTACCTCTTTTCTGCGTTTTACATTGTGCATTCACATGAGTGCCATCGAAATATAAATGGTATGGGCTCAAAACCTGTTAAAATAAAGAACCCACATTTCACCGTTCCGGTCAATTATATTCTGGAATGAAAGCAACATTTCAGTTGCTGAGTTTTCGTCTTTTACCCCTTCTTTAGGTGCTCGTTCAGATTGAGGAATGATGAATTTCTTGGGAGGATCGTGGACCTGGCTCCCAGTTCGCAATATCTTATGGTTGTCACATCAAGGGGCGAGGCATATTCAGCACCCTGGAATGCCATAATCAAGAATAAAAATAGCAAGATGCTATGGAGGTGGAAGCTACCATTCAATCACGTGACAAGGTTTCCACTCATTCAAAGGGGATTCCGAGTCTTCTGTGACCCCAAAGGGGAAAATGTTGTTTTTCTCCAGGTAGAATATCCGGCCTTCCGTGTAGCAATATCTGGCATTCATTTAAATTGACCACTAATTCTAATGAAAAATGGAAAATGCTTCGGAATCTCTTCCAGGAGCACCCGAGGGAATGCTGCGATTGTAACCAAGAACTAGATGAAGAGAATGACGGGTCCCACGTAACTCAATCCACAATGAAAAAAGACATGGAATTTCTCCTTGAAAACGCAGAGGAGTTGTCACCAGACATCACTCTGATTGTGAGAGATCAGTATACCACCTGTAATATTGTATCACCAGTATCAGTAAACCAGACATAATGCAATGGTATAGGTTGAGGGTAAGAGATTTCCTGCTCATCGTCTCATACTGATGGAGAGGTGCGAATATTTCCGAAACCTGTCTGAAATGAACTCGAAAGCCGACATAGTTCTGGACGGGATGAGTCATCAGATGTTCCCACATATTCTTCGCTACGTCTACATGGGAGATTGGTCTCATTTTGTGCCTTCCCACTTAAGCATTAAACTAAGACACGTTTAACTTGTTCTCATAAGCTTTCATTAACTGTTAAATAGGTCGACTGATCCCTCGCGCCAGGCAAAAGAAGCTGCCGAGAAACTACAACTTATGCAATTAATCAAGTACCTCGCAGCCTGGGAATTGTCTGATTTCAGCGTTGTACAGCCTGCTCCAGGTAAGTTACACGGATCCATATCTCGAAAAATGTTTGATATAAATGGGATGCGAAGAAAAGCTGAAATTCATGTTTCAGACGTGTTGTTGGATCCACCAAGAAGCGGCTGGTTCGTCCACGGTGCCTGGTCCATAGCTTGGCAGATATAACCCTTCTGAGTCGAGACGGGAAGGAATTCCCGTGTCACAAGTGCATCCTCATGGCCCGTTCCGAGTACTTTCGTGTTATGTTCGACTCCACCTGGCTCGAACCAGTCCCCTTCCTCTTCCACAGTGAACGGTATCGTCGCCTACAGTAAGTCCAGCAAGAACTAATAGAGATGCCCCTAAGGGTACAGAGGCACAGACTCTGTTTGTTATCGTGTAAGTAAAGGGTTCTCCTTGTTGCTGCTGATCAGCTGCTCCTGAACCAGCTCAAGGCAAGTGGAAGAAAATGAATTTTTTTTTTACGTGAATGTATGGTGACCAGAATTTTACGGCAACATTTACGAAGCTACGTGAGGAACTTGTTCTTTCGTTACTCCAGAACGGCTACAGTCCTACGCTGTTGCACTGCATTGAAAACTACCACTTTACCATCTATGAAAGGAAAATACATGTTTGTTACCGTCCCAGGCCTTAGTCCAACGAGACATATGAAATGCTTCTTTAAAATGTATAATTATTGAATATTATCACAAGAGCACCTTTGTTAGCACTTATGTTCATCCCAGCATCTATCTCTTTGTTATAAACATCAGTTTGATGACCGCCTATTTTTACTCATTTTGCAAAGAGGCCATGTAACCAGATAAGGCGCATTCTTGGAACCGTATCACTCTTTCTTTATTGTGTCTCGCCATCCCATGGTCGTCACCCTGAAATTAATGCAACCAAATGTGGTAATAGAACATCAATGTCTAAGGATATTTTATCCCCTAAGCACGCACTCGCGGCATTAGCCAGCAGCATGTATTTGGGGACTTACGAGTGAATTACGAATTTACAACAACGCCTCGTCGTTCTCTATGAGAGAAAGGGGTCTAGGTAAATGCAACAAAAATTGCCTCTGATCACCTCATTGAGAAACTGCTAGACGTTGGAATGTAAATTAGACGTTCATTGTCTTTTATCGAATGAATGCCTCGTTATACAGTTCACATGTAGAACACTTCACAGCAAAAGTAAGATGTGTCATACTTCGATCATCCTTGAATACAATTAAACTCGATATGCAGTAAGATGACAGCGATCATATCTTTCCGGACAAAATCATAGGTGCCTGCGACCAACGAATCTCGAGATGCATGGGTTTCGAATTGGCCATAAAATATCATACAATACTGTTCATGAAAATTTAAATGTAATGGACAAAACCTGTGTTTATTATTCCTACCTGATGAATTCAATTTGTTGTGCAAAGAATTCCAAGAGAACAAGATAATAATGTCCTAAAGTCGCAGTCGTGCCTCTGTTTCTATTGCTCTTTATAGCATTGTTCTTTTAATTACATTTTTCAGGGATAACAAGATAGAACGTGACGCTCGTTTTTTTTAATGAAGATATCCGAAAGCTCTCGATATAGCAGCTGAAAAGGCGTAAATCCCGTTGCAGAAATCGTGTGAGGTGCGCCTGATGAACATCATTACGTTGAGAAATGCCCCATTAATCCTGGAGGTGGCCCTACTGTGCAATACTACACTGCTGAAGGATGCAGTCACTCGATTCATCTGCCTCAATATTGCCACCTTCCTTGACTCTAGGTCCTTCCAATGTGCCAAAAATGAGCATCTGCTTCAGGACAGACCGTTCACCTTGCAAGCGTTTTATTTTCCTTTTTGAAGATCTCTGGAACGATGCAGCAAAGACGCCCTGGAAGGCCTGGCAGCATGCTACCGATCCAAGCTGCTAAGTGCCTCAAGCGGCAGCAGCACCGATCCCGCGAAAGCCTCAGATGACGCACGACCCACCTCATCAGTTGGTCAGCTCATTTAATCCCCACTGATTCTATAAGATCTCGCTTTCCTTCTTCTGTTACACAGGGTACATTTGTATCTTTTCTGCAGATGAAGCATCAGGGAAGGCTACGTCAGATGGGAAGGAGTTATATGAAGAAAGCAAGGACGGAATCAGAGAAGACAAATATGCATCAGAACTTTTGTTTGAGGTAAGCATTGCAGATCCATCCCGTGATGATCATCTTCACGTTATGGTTATCGCGTTTCAGTAAACGTTGTATATGTCACAGTCAATATGCCTAATCCGCCTTGTGTGCAAGTAATCATGGTACTGGTGTTTTACCAAGCGAGCCGACCCAGGTGGTAACATGTTTTCGGCCGGTATTTGTTCAAAATGTTACCAATGCTTGTCCCATATTATGTGTCGTTGGGGCTGCGTGGTTGAATACTAATGGGTTGCGTAGATCTAATAGAAGTAATGAGGACTTCGTGGGTAAATCAAGCTGATTCTTTTAAAATAGTACTGGTAAGGTAAGGTTCAACAATAAAGTGGAGAAAAGTTCCATTGTTACTTGACCAAATTTTGTATTTGGTAATTATTTTCTGGGTTTTTTTGAAAATTTTTGGGGCATTATGCATTAAATTGAGTGCATCCGAAGCTCGATATGGTTTTGAATCGATGGCAGGTCCTAGACACAAGAGCGGGATGATAGTAATTTACGCATACTTTTGCGACCCAAGTGTATAATAAAATTATTTTCTTTCATAGTTATATTACAACCATTTGTTCCATGTTGCTCAATGAAAAATTACATTTGTCATATCACGGAAGAATGTCATGTCATCGCGAAGGAAGAAATTTCACAGGAAACCTCTTCAAAATGGTTTCCACAGTTATGCTGATAAATTTTAGGCGATATATTTGAAAAAAATGTAAGACCTTGACTGCCATTTCAGCTAATGTGACTTATGGAGTCATGAAATGTTACCTAGCCTATTAGTCATTGTGTTAAATAATTCCTTGTCCAGATTCTTGCCCTCCAAAGGACCAAAAGCCTATCGTACTTTCTACTAGTATTTATGCATTTCTGGTTGGCCAAATTCCCAAATTGATTGCAGGAAGGGGTGATTTGGGAAGAAGGGGCCACGCCACTCTCAGAGCGTGCTGAAGCCGGTGGGTATGGTGAGAGGGACAGCCCCTGGCCCATTCAACAGCTGGATGCTTCCTCCATCCCCTGTGGGATGCCGGAGATCGTGGAAGAATCCAGTTCAGAGAGCGACTTCGGCCCTTACTATCACGGCTCCGATTACATGGGGTATTTCGTGAGCCAGACGATCTTTTTGATTTCTGGTGAAAACCGCATGGAAGCTCATCTCCATAATTGTTAGACAGGGACCTTCACGGTCTAGTCAGAACCTACAAGGGAAGAAGAGTAGATCTTCGAAGACTTGTATGACATTTTCATCATCAGAATGATGCCTGATAGTTCAATTTTACTCCAAAATATCCCGTCCCAGAAGTTTTAATTCATTTTGATGATAACTCACATGATAACTCGGTGTTCTGTCCTCTGAGTGTTTTATTTTCCCACGTTTCTTCTTGGGGGCTGCCGGTTGGAACTTGATTTTTCAGAAAATAAGAAGACAGTTCCTGTTGGTTTTGCTCTGAAGTATCGGAAAAGCTTCATGCCAGCCCGTCCTGACTTGTTTCTCTTCCTCTCACCGGCTTGTCAGCGTCTCAATTCTTCATTGGCTTCATCAGCTCGTGCGCACTCCATCGGGTTTTTAATTCTGCACCAGTTTCATAAGCCTGTTCATTACCTTATGTTTTTAATTAATGCCTGCCTTTATGTTTTGCACAGGTGAGGATCCACAGGTTCCATTAATTTTAACTTTCTTGCTTCATGGCTTCGGAAACCCTGGGACCCACTATCTTAAGCTCATTTTTTAGCTCCAAATGTCTAAGTTACTATATGATTGAGGACTGGAATGATATCCCCGTGTCCGCAGATCATTAGGAAGCAGCCCGTTTAGAAATAAAGGGAAAATGTTCGAGACAAAGAACCGCAGAGTTCAGGTGTACAAACACAGATGCACAGGCTGATGTATCCCTTTAAGGAAAAAAATGCATTAGCTCGGTGTTACCTGTCAGTTTCCGTTGTAGATTAAGAACCATTTCTACTATCATTAAGTATTAAGTCCCTCAATAAATAGCATTCGCAAACCTTGTTGGTTTCATTATCAACCGTATCTCCAAAGACATGTGTTTATGCCCTGAGTTTAATTTGGTAATTTGCAGCCACTAGTCGAGTTGGCGGATGCTTTAATTAGCGAACTCCCCGTTGGTGAAACCAATGAGTAAACTCTAATGACCATGTTTATGACCATGCTCATCGCCATGTTTAGAACCTGGAAGCCCTAAAACTGATGAATACAAAAAATCTGGCTTATAATATGCACAGCTTCCCCCACCCCCCCCTCTTTCATGCCCTGATTCGTTCAGGCTTAAATAAAATGACCGTGTTGGAGGGAAAAACCTGTGAAACATCAACACCGACTTCTTGAAGCCTCCTATGTGCAAGTACCTTCGCATCCCATATCGCGTTCTAATTTAAAATAGTATGAGCAAGACGCCTATATTCCTGAACACTAATCTGCAATTATGATAAGCCATATTTTTTGTTCTCTGCAAGAAACGCCGACTGAAGATATAATGCGACGATTATGTGGACATTTCTGGAATTATGTTTGCGCTTCGGCAGCCGCATGAAACTAAGCCGCACCTAGCAACTACTACGACGAGAGGAGCGAGATATCAAAGGGTGTCTGCAGCATTTTTCCTTTCAAGTCCGACCCTGTCGAACTTTACTCCAAGAACATTGCACTTCTACGAGGGACCAAGGCAGGTGGAAAACGCATTCAATTGTATAAACATTGTAGCACCAGTTGCTGGTTCGTGAAGAGTATTGGAGAAAAAAATAATAATTCTCTTGTTATTATAAATTTCTTTCACGATTTTTCCTTCAGATCGACGCATAAAAAGAACTCCGTAAAAGGGGCCCATGTCGCCTACTTCTCATCATATAATCAAGCAATATGCAAAACAACAAAATTTTCAGTGAAACAGGAAAGAGGAAGCCAAGGAGATTCTTGAGAAACCTGCGAAGATGCTCCATAAATAATGTATGTATCTGACGATGATGATTTAAAAAAAAGGAATCGGAGTCCACATAGAAATCCTGCTAGGGTATGCGTATTTTGCGATGCGAAAACCATAATGCGATGCAGAAATAGATTAAAATGTGAATTGCAGGACTCTGCTCCGTAATATTGGGTTTTGATGCATTAATTAGATGCCAACCGTTTCCGCTTTACCGTGTTCAAATTAGGCAATCCCAGGCCATTGATGGAAGTGTCTGTTCGGAAGGCAATAATACACTTTTGAACCATCCCGTGAAGCGAGATTTAAAAAAAAACAATTTAAATACCATAAATTTTATGGTGGTTCCAGCAATTCAATATGAATTTTAAAATATAATATAAAAATGGTAATTTTGGCATGGTACGAAAAACCTCACACCACTCTTCAGTGGATTTTTTTTTCTAACTAGAAAAATCGCGTTCCACCCGGGAAGGAGGAAAGAACTCCGCGCGATACGGGAGCGATGCCCCCCGTCTCCGAGATAGCCGTATCTCACGAAATCGAGGCTGAAAAAGGTCCAATCCGGCTCGGCGGCTGCCAGTCGGTGCATCGCCTTGCAACGTGCAAAAAACTTCTCGTTTGTGTCAAGTTCACTTCTCATTCCCCTTTTTCACGTGTGCCATATGACCCTCGCGAACTACCTGTACTCCGATAGTGAACTGGTGACTCATCGATCCGACCCGGAAGCCGAAATTGCTTCCACGTAGATATACCGACCTTGAAAATTTTTTATACTTGCAAATACTGCCCAAAGTATGCTTTGTCGGACTCCGTACTGTCCTGATCGGCTGTCAGCGAAACCAAAGAAACAGGTGGGGTGAAAAGCGTACTGATATGGAAGCAGTTTTATCCTCTTTCAAGTTGTTAGTATAAACAAATCCAAGAAATAGCGAAAATTTAAAAACACATTTTCAGGAAATTTGAGTCCGAGAATGAGCGAACAACAGCTGTTCTAGATTTCAAATTTAAAAAGCGACTGTCTACTTCTGGAATTATGAAATTGAGGCCAAACCCCCTCAGAAGCGAAGCCAAAGTTATAATCCGGAGTCTCAAGCCCTCCGAACTTGTTTCTCCTCCTCCTTACTTTATGCTTTCGGATATTAAAGTTCTAGTACATTTTTTTTTTAGCAAAAAGAGCATCTTAGCATCTGTTTTCCCACCCCTCTAACAGGCTCCATCGGGCAGAGCAACGACTCCGGCTCACTTTTAGGCCAGATGACGATCTGAGAGCCATCTGGAATCTTCCACCGAAGATGACTAACCCTCTGAAGATTCTCTCGAATCAGGTGAGCATTGCGACCACCTTTTTTCCTTATCGCAGCTGACGCTTTTTGCCACTTATGCTTATCGAACTTGATCGTGGGGTCATGTATTTAATCCCGGTGAGCTTCCTGGGATATCTCGCCTTCATCCCTAGATTATGAGCTTAGAACATTGACTTCTCTTCCGCCCTTCTACCACGAGGAGTGTGCGAGGGCATGTCAATTGGGAGAAAAATAAAAATCCCTTTTTCTCTTCCAAATAACAGAAAATTCCAAAGAAAATCCTCTTTTGCTTTCAGGACTTCGGACACGTTATCATTCATTGCTTGTTGATAAAATATTTCGAGGTTCCCGACCCTCATACCTTAAGGGCGAGGCCACTCCGCTAGGAATACTTAATATTCATGTTCATAAATTGTGTCAAATGGCAGGACACGTTGGCAGTTAAGTTCTCGTCACAGTGAAAATGTCTAAAATCAATGGAGTTTTCCCTTGCAAGAAGATGCAAGCCCCAAAGGTATTAGATTTTGATGAAACTAGTAGAGGCGGTCGCCACACTCCCGCTCCCCTGCCCCCCTACCCCCTACCCCCTACCCCCTGCCCCCTGCCCCCTGGATGGCCATGTGAGAAGGCAGGACGTGACAAAACCACCCCTAATTTCTCGGTCTGCCCCTGCGCTTCATTAATCGTCATTGAGAAGGACGGGGAACTGACGCCGAGCGAAGACGAAGGGCAATCCAAAGAGGAAGGCGTTGCCTTAAATCGTCTCCTTGTAAGAGAATGTGGTATATGGGCTTTTATTGGTGGCCTCATGCTATTCATATCGCGATCAGCCGCGCACGTTTCATAACGTTAATGGCCTAATGCCACGCTGCGTGTACCTGATATAGGGGAGCCACTGAGCTGATAAATAAGAGAAAATGAAATTCATTTCAGTTCATGCCTTAGACCTAGTGTAAGAAAGGTCGACTGTGATGATGCAAAGCCGGCGTAAGGTCATCACCGTCGTAGGCCGAGCAATCCCAGGAAAGGCAGGCCTGGAACTTGAAGCCCGATCGGGAAATTAGAGAAAGAGGAACGGGATGGTTACGGCGCAGCCGACGTCGTCTTCCCTATCCAAGAGAAAGCGCTCTTGTGGCAGACAGGTGGGATCCCGCCGCTTTCACCCTCGGGAGTCACTCTCCTTCTGAGTGCCGATCGATAAGAGGACGGGGTTCCGATTGATAAAAGGGTCGGGATTAAGATAAATATATGGGCGGAGATCTCATACCCGCGAGGAGTCATCCTTCCTCCAAGGATGAAAGGGGACGAACAAGTGGAATACGCCTGGAGTGGAATACGTCCCAGGGGAACAGTCCGTATGATACCCCCCTAAGTAGGGAGCGGGGGGTATCCCTCTAATGCCTCTCTCTCCCGTTGTAAGGATAATGATGGCATGGAGAGGGTTCGGTGGTGTAGTGGTAGCACACTTTTCTAGCACCCATGGTGCCTTCGGTTCAATTCCGGCAGCCTCCTCCTTCTTTTCGTCCTATCATGGCATCCGAACTCTGAACCCCATCCCCTCCCTCCCCCCCCCCCGGCCAATTACATTCTCGAGGATATATTCGAAAGTCGCAACCGCCAGAAAAAAAATGCTAGCCCGAGACAGGGAGACGTACACCCAGAGGCAGACAGATGACTCCATGGGGTGCGCACACGCGATCGCTCTGAGCGCACGCGTGTGTCATGTGTGCGCGCGCACGGACCACAGCAGATTTTATTGCATAGGTATTCATTTGCATCGATCTAGCGCAGCCGGTACAACCTGAGAGCCTGTGCTAGCTTTGAAAATGGTTTCTCAGGAGAATTCATATTTGTGCTTCATTGAAGCAAGTAGGAAAATCAGGGAATACCAGTTGTCACCGCCAGCATCAGTGCGTTCCAATGTTGAACTTCGTCAAAGCGCTGCAATGTTACATCTCATTGTTACATCTCATTGTTACAT